AGGCAGGGGGTTGGACTAAAGACCTCCAAGGTCGCTTCCAACTCTGCTATTGTATTGTATTATTGTAAGTCTTCCCTCCACACGCGTACATGTGAATCGGGCACATTCAACTTACAGGAAACAGTTCCTAAAATATTTTGGAATCAAACTATGTAGGGTTTTAAAGTTTAATTTTTTAATTATAGTTTCTCAGTCTTTTTGAAAGATAGGAGATTGGCAACACAGAAAATTTGTATTTTGTACTGATCTAGAATTAAATGTTCCTCTAAATCAAGCCCCATATATTTTCAAAGCTATGATGTGTACCCTACACATCAGGAGAAAGATCATGGCTGCTGTGGTTCAAAAGCAATTTTTGTGGAATAGTGTTTGTGCTATTAAACTTCTGAGGTTGCTGTACATAGTCAGAGTTGCAAATATCCATGGTTAGGACTTGAACTGTTGCTATTTTGACAAAGGTCATATTTACATAATGTCCTCTTCCTCCTGAAAAAGGGATTTAATGTAAAACTCTGACAACAACACAGGACAAAAGAGCGATGGAAATTACAGTTACGTTTCAAGGAATCATAAAAGACTAAGTCACAAATGTAATATGTGTATAAATCAGGGGCCCTTAAAACACATCATACATGCATGCATGCACATACACTGGATACAGCTTCATCGACTACCAATAAACTGCTGATGTGCTGAATTTGTACCAATAATGGATACTGGATATGGGCTAATAAATTCTGCATGAATCCAGAGAGAGTCAGGTGCTCTTAGTCAGGAAGCAGATGGAATCAGGAAACTGTTTTCAGCCTGTCTTGGATGTTGAAAAATCAGATAGCTAATCTGGATTCAACTTTTCATTTTATTTATTAAATTTACTAGCTGGATACCCATTCTTCAGGATGAAAATATGTGATTGAGCTATGTAGGAGAAATTTGGTTCACATTCTGTTGGCTCAGTGTGGTCGGTGATTGAAACACATAAGGGAATATTGCTCCTGCCACCTTGAGTCTGGAAGCAGTTCCATGGGTGGAAGCTGTAGACATTTTGGTGAGATACCAACGTTTAGTACTGTAAGGAGCCCCAGGCCACTCCTGAGTGAAGGAGTGGAATGTCTGCCAGTTTGAATTGAGTAACGGAATGTGAGGCAACTGGCAGTTGGAACAGAGTTCTTTTCAGGTGGGGAGGGGAAGTAGAATTCCTTGGCACCAGAGCTGTTAATCTATATATATAAATACTGTATCAGAAATATTAATGATCTGATGATCATTTAGAAAAATCCTCTGGATGGGTTACATGTGGAAATTCAGCTGCAGCCAGCAATGCTTCTGCTCAACTTGGGCGCTCATTTGTGACCACCTCTAATGACATCAGAGAAGGCCAGAGTGATATACACCTTAATTGTATCCAGATTTGATTATTGTAACCCATTCTACTTGGGTTTCCTTCTAAATAAGCTTTATTAACTGCAATTAGTCCAGAATCCAGCCATTTGCTTACTAAACTAGTCTTGAACTGATCATTGTTGTAGAATTCTAATACACATCAAAGTGTTGGTGATGGCCCATTAGAACGGCAGGCCTAAAACTGGATTACTTTTAGAAATTCCTTGTCCCATAATAGTTTATCCATACAGGGTCCTTTGATGGAGGAGTCCTTCTCTGTATCTCATAATGGAAGTATGATTAGTGGAACAAGAAGGATCTTCTGACTGACCTCAGTTTAACTATGGAACTGTGTCTCACAGAATTGGTACCTTCTGGGGTTGTTCTCTGTTCAAGGGCTTCTTATTTTGGAAGATGCTTGTTCCCCAGGCAGAGCACTTATTCCTTGATAAATTTAACTGTTATGCCTGCCTTTTTTGTAACTTCTGTTTTCCCGCCTTTGGTTTTTCTTTTCAACACACTCAATTATGCATAAGCCTTAACCTTTCCTTTTTTGAAATTAAATTTGTTTGCTGCCAATCTCACCACAAGGCGACTCTTGTTCGGAGTGAGCCACACGCACAAGTAAAGTGGGATCTCTCTCTAATACACACATACACACGCACATAGACAATCACACACACACAGAGTGGATGGAGATCTCTTTTGTTAGCTGAAATGTTCTGAGTTTGCAACACCTTATTTGTTTCTAGACACTCTCACTTTAGGCCACGTACCTTTCCGGAGAGGCTGCTTGTGATTGAAGGTCTGGGGGGCCACTAGGAATTGGCTCTCTCCCAGGGGTTCCCAGAAATGGAAAAGGCGGATAGTCCAGGCACCTGGGCGGAGGGGCCGGTTGAGAGGTGGCTTGTACTGTGTGTACTCTGCGTCTGCATCTACTGTGATATCATAGGACGTGGCAATGATATAGCTGGGGTCAATCCAAACTACGGTGGCTGTGAGGTTGGGTCCCCGTGCCCATTTCTGCATAGCCACTGGTTCATCGAAAGGCCCGATCAGGCCACCAAAATTCCGGAAGATCCTCTCTTTGGGGTCCCAGTCAGTACCTACCTATAAGAGTGGACAGAAAAGAGGCATTTGCAATGGGGAAGAGGACTCACCCACAGCATGGGAATCATGCTCTTCAATAGGCAAGAAGCACTTAGAACATTTATAATGTTTCATTGAGTAGGCACTTGGGAAAAATACAGGTAGTCCTCAAATTACAACCACAATTGAGCCCAACATTTGTGTTGCTAAGCGACACCCTTGTTAAGTGAGTTTTGCCCCTTTTTACGACTTTTCTTGCCACAGTTGTCAAGTGAATCACTGCAGTTAATCAAGCAATAGGTACAATTGTCTTCCTCATTGACTTTACTTGTTAGAAGTTTCCGAAAGGTGATTACATGATCCCGGGACACTGCAACCATCATAACTATGAGTCAGTTGCCAAGTGTAGGAATTTTGAATATATGACCGTGGAAATGCTGCAGCAGTCATTTAAGTATGAAAAATGCTCATAAGGCACTATTTTTTTTAGTGCTGCTGTAACTATGAATGGCAACTAAACACACTGTTGTAAGTTGAGGACTACTTGTATTCTTACACAAAGGTGGACTACATTGCCATATGCATTTTTATTTCACATTCTGTTAGAAAAAATTCCTTTCTTCTGTAAGGAAGAAAAAGATTTAGAATCTTTAGAAGACTTTCTTCATTCAGCGATCCACAAGAGGACTCACATTTCTCTGGAAATACTCCACATGGGGAGCACTAATAAGGAAATTCAGTCTGGGTTGACACCATCTTTTTTAAGATGATCCATCTGGATGGAAAGATTCACACATCCTAAAGATAAAAGTGTCCCCTTTCTACTTGTGTTTGACTTTAGGGGACAATGCTTAACTCTCTATCTTAGCCGAGGGAGCCAACATTGTCTGAAGACATTTCTGTGGTCATGTGGCCAGCATGACTATACGCTGAGTCACATGGAATAGTGTTACCTACCTACTGAAGTATTTATCTACTCACATGCATTGGAACTGCTAGTTGGGCAGTGTTCTGACCCAGGCTTCCTTAAAAAGCAAGAAGCAGAGTTTTGATCCCGGCAAAACCCCTTTTATTTACATGACTGCGCATTCCTTTCATTCACAGTCAGCAAGGTTTAGCAAACAGTCTTTCAGAGGAATGCTTATCAACACGAACTTTATCTAGTTTGGAGAGCTGCCAAATAACTAGTTTCCAAATGCAGGGCAACACAAAACTTGGCACAGAGTCTCTTATAATCACAAACAGAACTTTCCACTCTTGAAACGACCAAAGGAAGAAATTGTTTCCTGCAAAAGCCCACTCCCCGTTCACTCCTTTGTTTCGTATGGGAGGGGCCAATCACCTCCAAGGTGTGGCTTTACTCCTAAGTCAATCCTGCTTTCTTAGTTGTTCTTGTCTTCTGGCAGTTTTGTGCCTGCACACACTGGGAACAGGCTCCAGCTGTTCCTCTGCCTCACTGTTGTTTAGCTCCCTCTCTGCTTCTGATGCAGAGCCCTCGTCTGAGCTTTCCTCAGCCCTCAGGACTGGCCCATGTTCCTCCCCAACCTCCTCACTATCCGACTCTGCTGCCAGCTCTACTGGCCACTGGTGGGCCACAACAGGCAGGAGCTGGGACCAGAAATAGGAACTTACCTAATCGTGCAGCACTTGGGACTTAAACCCAGGCTGTCAACTTTCCAGCAGACAAGCTCAGTGTCTTTAACTGCTACGCTGTGCCCTCTCACCCACCATACCACCCTATTAATTATATTACACACCTCACAGCCACATAGAACAGAATCATGAAAAAGTGACGTTTTGCAGTTGCAGAGAAGGCTATTTCAGTTGTATTCAATTCCTATTTCCACACTCTTGCCTTTGGGCTTTTCTTCACAGATCACATTCTCAACCACATAATTCTTTGCTTGCCCAAGTATTCCTGAATGACCTTATTTTGAATGGAGGAGGTCATCTTTTCTTTTGCCTCATACTTTTCATAAGTTTCATACAGCACAGGGAGTAAAGACTAATCTCTGTCTCCACTCGCTGGTATACTGGATATCAGTCAGAAATAGACAGAATTGTTGGAAGAAGCTGCGAAATACTGAAGAAAGCACTCCTCATATAACAGAAATGCAGATCAAGTGAAATTGTTATATATTGTTGAGACAGTGCTGGCTCAGCAATAGCAACTTCATGCGCAGTCACCGACTACCATGATTTCCTTAAGGAGTTGAATTAATTATTGCATCTTCTAGATGTCAGCTGCATATTGATAATATGTGTGTGTGTGGAGAAAGGAGGATACATTGATTGAAGCAGAGAGAACATTTTGATTAATTAAAGCCAGGAGAGAACCACAGAATAGCTAAAAGAGGAATCCCACCTCAAGATTCTGCAAACGGTTGGCCGATTTGCCACTAGCCGCTAATTTGAGAGTCCCACGGGGCATCATCCATATTTCTAGAGACTCCACCTGTTGAGTTGCAGAATTCTGAACTTCTTGAGTCACCAAGTAGCCCTGGAAATGGTCATCATAAAAATACAAGTGGACGCTGGATGGGAAGCCCTGTGGCTCAAACCTAGAAAAACAGGATAACAATTTCAATAATATTAATCATAGTAGTAGTAATAGCAATAGTAATAACAGCCCTGACTAGCACTTCCAAATTGTCAGAACATTTCATATACATAATTAGGAACAGCTTTTAAATGTTCATTCTTGTTATCCTTCATACTGCAGATGGGAAAACTGAGACAGGCAGAGAAATTGCTTCCTTTGGCCCACCTAAACAGTAGAGATCCAACCCACCAACTTCCAGATTCGAAACTCACAACAATATCTTATATGTTCTGAATCCCAATGGAGTTCAATGAGTTTATTCTCCACTGAGGTTTTAGTCCTTTAGCCAGTCTAAAAGATGAGTTCTCAAACCAACATGGTAGTTCTTAACACATTCAGACACATCTACATCTATGAGCCATCTATAGACTATTTCAAGATCAAGGAGACCTATCAGAATAACACTGTTTTATTAATTTGATCTTGTCTTTTTCCATTAGCTGAAGGTGGTATCCATCATGGTTACTTCCTCTTCCAAGGTTATCCTCACAACAATTCATCTCCTAAGTAAGATGCATAGTGAATAACTCAACCAAAGTCAGTGAGTTTCCACAGCTAAAGGAATATTTGAATTTGAGTTGTCCGGATCTTTGTTCAAAATTATAACTACTATTTACTTTAAGCATCCAATGCCACTGAAAAAAGTGAAGTTATTTTATGTCAGTAAGTCCACCATCCCATCTTAAATATCCCAAATGGCAGCAATCTCTACATGCAGAAGCAGAACTTGGATTGCCAGTTTGTAAAACCTTACATCCCATGAGGGTTGGTCTTTCTCCAAGGGTAAAGCACCCCATCCCTGTAGCAAGAAGGGTGATCTGAAGGATCAGGAAGTAAATTCTCAAGCAGGATAGGACATGTCTTTTCCCCTCAGGCTAAATGACCAATGGCCCAGAAATCCAGACCAAGCTCTCCCACCTCAAAGCAACCCAGGCTCTATCACACGCTCGCGGTACCTGCATGGCCTGTCTTTTTTCTGGGTTGGCGCAGAGGTCAGTTTCTGTAGCCCCAGCCTGGAGAAGGATGTGTACACAGTCAGGGTGACGTCGCTGAACCCACTCAGCCCATCCACATGGTCATAGACACTCTCCCAATAGGCCTTGAGGGCTGGCGTGTTAGGTGGGTAGTTACCATAGAGATGAGTGTCCAAGATTTCCAGCACTTCCTGGTTGATGGTGGACTCAAACTTCCTGGCAAAAAATGTAGGTCTGGAGAGTTGCTGAAAAGAAAAAGACATTTGGAAAATGGGACGGAGAGAGAAGCAGAGGGAAGAGTTTCATAACATGATTCAATGCTAGATCTGTAGCACTAAACTTACCAGAAATCAGTGCGCGCTTGGAATCTAAAACTTTCCAATATAATAATTGTTCTACAATATGTCTTGCAAAATCCTGGAAATTAACTATAGCTCCTGAACCCACATACTTGCATATGAAAATGAATTAGTACCACTTTGAAAATTAACTTATTTTTGCCAACAGATCTTTGATAATAATAAACATGGTTATTAGTTATGAACTATTGGTATATAAAACTTCAGGATAAGACAAAAGTATACATGGATGAAATATGTATCATGATAATTATTTTGGACTTTGTCTTTAGTCTTAACTTAGAAATGTATAAAATTGTCATTTTCGAGTCTGCCCTTTGACTTTGTTTTCTTTTTAATTAATTAATTATTATTTAATTATTATTATTTTTAATTTTTGTCAGATGATGAACATGTGTGTATCTCATGCATGTTTAAACTCACTTATTGATGATTGGCCCACTTGGTTCCAAGCTTCCACTGCTCTATCTGTGAAGTAATATGTTCTAAAATTACTTTTGAACTTCCCTCCTGCCAGTTTGAGGTAATGCCCTCGTGTTTTTGATTTTTGTTTAATATTAAAAATGCCGTCTAATACTTATTGCGTTTTATTTGCTTTTCCAAGAGGAGAATGGGAGAAAGACCACCAGCAGAGGACTTAAGGAATGAAAATCTTTTGATTTCATCCCAGTGCAAAAGAGTTCACTGCCTAACGCTAACTATGTAAAAATGAAATAAAAGGCTAAGAGGCAACATCTTATTCCATGTTACAGTTGGGGCGGGACTGAGGAGCTACTGCTGTTCATCAAAGAGGAGGTGGGTAACTCAACCTGGCTAACCTTGACTGAAGTTCAAAATGAAGTAGAGTTGAAGCTGGCTGGTATTTTGATGATGGGAGAGTATTAAGGTATTCCGAGGTGTGAGCTAAATTGGAAAGTCAGAAAAATACACCTGAAGAAAGCAACGGCAAATGATTTCAATACTCCTACTATGAAAACTGTGTAGATCAGTGGTGGGTTCTGGACCCCGTCGCAACCAATATGCTGCGCATGAGGCTGGGCATCCTAGTCAGGTGCGTGCAGGCACTGCATGCTGCACACGTGTGTGCAAATGGCCGGTCGCACTATAAACAGCTATGGAACGCTGGTGGGCAGGTGGGCCAAACAAGCCACTGTGCCGGTACAGTGGCGGCTCCTCCCAGCTACTACTGGTACAGTTGTACTGGGCCTTACTCCCCGGAACCCACCACTGGTATGGATGAATTGATAAAAGTCTGGAGGAGTTGAGTTTGACTTCAGAGCATATTTTTGTTATTGTTACACTATTTTGCCTGCACTGAGCTACTAAGGTTTGTGCAAATGAAACAAAGAAGGACAAATAATTTCCTGAGAGCAGAAATAAAGTTACATTACACCAAAAATGGAAATGTCTGAGGTACCTGCAGTCTCAAGAAGTCCTGTGGTTTGAAGTCATTTGGGGAACATCCGCACCAATCAACTATGTGCTTATATTGGCACTTGCAGCCCAGCTTGCGGTTCCAGTTTGTCACCCGGAGGTTGTTGTCTACCAAGGTGTCACAGGCATGGCTGTTCTCCAAGACAGTGTGGAAAAAGGACTGTAGGAGGAGAAGCATCATGAGAAACACAGCTCCACCCAGGCAGAAATTACCATGGTCCACATGCCAACAAGACAGTCATTCTAAACTTGGAACTTTATTTAAAGGGCAGGTTCAAGAGGACTTCACATTCTGAAAAATGCTTCCTCACTCTGGAAAAGCCACATGCTGCAGAAGGAACCTCAAATGGAGGGGATTGAATTGTTATTATTATCTCTTTTATTCATTAAACATGAAACTCAGTCAACTGAACATTCAAAAATGTATCACAAATACCACTGACTGGTGCTAATGGTTGATATGGGTTGCTGCCAGCTGCCATCCTAGGTATCTACCAAGTATCTTCTTAAAATATATGATGATACGAGCAGTGCATTTTTCTGCAGTTCTGCTGGTGTTATTGTGGGAAGCAATAATTCTTGATGTGTTTTGTAAAATTCTTGGACATGGTACCAAGTGCCCCGAGGACAATAGGTATCACTGTTACATGTTTCATCCATAGCCGTGTAGTTTTGATGGCCAGGTTGCGATATTTCGTAATTTTTTCCAGTTCTTTTTCTTTGTCTTTGGTGTCTCCTGGTACAGCGATATCAATAAACTGTACTCTTTGGCCCTCGACAATCGTGCTATCTGGCATGTTGTGTTCCAAATTATCATCATCATCATTATTATTAGGTTAATCTTTGGTGAGATTCACAGCCTCTGGAGCTGCTTGGTAACTCAACAGCTTGAGTACTAACCAAGGACCTAGGAACTATTAAGGTAACGTTGGAGGATATAAGCTGTTCCAAGTAGGGTGTTGTTGTTGTTGTTGTTATTATTATACTTTATTCATTAAACATGAAACTCAGTCAACGGAACATTCAAAAATGTATCACAAATACCATTGACTGGTGTTAATGATTGATACAGGTTGCTGCCAGCGTCCTAGGTATCAACCAAGTACCTTCTTAAAATATAAGATGTTCTGAGTAGCAGTTTTTTGCAGTTCNTGACCAAAACTGGATGCAGTATTCCAAGTGTGGCCTTTCCAAGACATTAGAAAGTGCTATTAACACTTCACGTGATCTTGATTCTATTCCTATTAGAAACCTGATTTATTTCCTTACTTTCATAAATTTGGATAATATCAGTTACACGGCAGCCTAGTACTCATCCTATTATTGGTTCTTTAGGAACAAAGTTTCCATCCTATACAAAAATACTACCCATTCACTACAGTCACTCTGAAGCCTCTACAACTGATGAACCTACCTCTGCTGGGAGAAGTGTGTATGTGTAGAACTGTTGCAGCTGGGAGACCAATTGATCACTGGTGTACACCACGTATTCCACAAAACTGCGCGTTAGGGCAAACCAGTCTGAGCCCCCATCTACCACGATACCCTCCGGGATCTGCCGTTCACCCAGTCGCCACATATGTGTGTCGCATTCATGGAAAAGTCTGTCTAGGCCCTGCTTCTTGATGAACCTAAGCGGAGATGAATGCCTCAGATTCACTAGGAAGCAACGGGGAATTTTAGGGATTAAGTTTCAAACAAGGAGAGTTCTAGAACACAACACTTTGAAAACGTTGGATTCTATAGCCTGAAAGTTCCAGGCAATTGGCATAATCATAGCGGTTCACAGCCTTTCGATCTTTCAGCTTAAATTTTGGAAATTGGATTGTTTGTAAGATTTCAGATTGGTCTGAATAACCTTTGAAGGCTTCAAAAGCTGCCCACACTACAAGTTGTAAGAGTTTCTTTTGACAGCATTTAAAGAACAAATGAAGCCAGTTGTGGAAGATGCTGAAATATCTTTAAAAAATAAATAAATACTGGGAGTAGAAATTACATGGTGAACATATGATTTTTGGCCCAACAACAACAGACTCCTATAAATCAGAGCCTTTAATAAAAAAAATAGCTCCAAAGCTTTCCACATTTTTGAATGTTTTTCTTTTTTATAATTATGAAGTTTGGAGTTCTTTTTGAAGACACAGTTGGATAAAAAAACAAAAAGACAGCAAAGAAAAATGCTATTATTTGTAAATGGAATTCAGATATATGTTTCAATTATATTCGGTTTCAGATGAATAAAACAACAGAATCTATTCAACTTCCACAAACTTGCCCTACGACAGGAATGTAATATGACTGCACCAATGGCATTTTATTAGCCTTTCATTTGTTTAGCTACTCATTTCTTCTCTCTTTTTATACGTAGCACTTAATAGCAAAAAATCTCTAGCTGACAAAGATATGCTAAAAAAAAGAACATTTAAAAATTATAGTCATAAAATCTAAATAGAAGATAAAAAATAGCTGCATGAGGTAAAATGAAAACAAGGTTAACAGCAGTGGAAAAGGTTTCTATGCATTTCAAATGTTCATAAATATTCAAAGAACAATAGACAACTAAAAGATAGCATAATGAATATTAGAAAGTCTATCTGGGTCTGAAAAGATAAAACAGAAGTTGCCAGGTGATCTAGGCAGGGTATTTAAAACTTGGCACCACAGCAAGGAATATCCTCTGACCAATAGCAATTTATCTGAGATTGTGGGCTTTTTCGTCATTTTTAATGTGTTTCCCAATGCCAAAGCTTTTCAAATTACCTAGCATTATCTCGTCCATGAGACTTCAAAAAATTCTTGTCCCGATATTTTGATAGGAATGTCACCAGCTCCTCATTGGTCCTGCAGGGGGCAGCACATCAAAAGGAAGAATTAGAAAAAGCAGAAAACTGACAGACTAGTAAGCTTTCTGGAAAAGGCAACCTGATGTACCTCCAAATGTTTTGGATTACAGAACCCACCATCCTTTGCCAATACTTTGGCTGGATGGGACATGTGACAGTCCAACACACCTTCAAACTTTAGTCATGATCAGCAGAGAGGAAGAATGAACTTCCAACCTTTACACATTTTTGAAGCTCTGAAAAAGACCGGATATAAAACTCTACCCATATTACTGGAAATTATATTTTGTCGGGATTCTCATTGTACAAAGAATAGCAATAGCAATAGCAGTTAGACTTATATACCGCTTCATAGGGCTTTCAGCCCTCTCTAAGCAGTTTACAGAGTCAGCATATTGCCCCCNAAAAAATCACAAAGTACCGGGCCTTGCAAATTGAAGTTGAGCAACTGTGGAAAAAGAAATTGTGTGTTGTTCTGATTGTAATTGGAGCCCTTGGAGCAATACCCAAAGGGCTACCTCGCTTTTTGGAAATTCTACATTTATCAGACTTGAACATTTTGACTCTACAAAAAATCACCCTTCTTGGGACAGCTTATATCCTCTGACGTTACCTTAACAGTTCCTAGGTCCTTGATTAGGACTCAAGCTGTTGAGCTACCAACCAGCTCCAGAGTCTGTGAATCTCACTAAAGATTTATCTAATAATAATAATAGAAACAAATGAACCACCCAGTCATCTGACACTTAGCCTGATTTCTCCATCAGTTAGCAGATATTTGCATTGACTTTTTACTGTAATTATTTTGCAAGTGGTTGAGAGCTGTGGCCAAAATAACAGGACAATGATACTATCAGCAATTTCCTCAAAGAAGGATCTACCTGGATCTCATGCCTCACCTTCTGCAGTTATAAAGTCCGGTGAGGAATCCATGGATGGTTTCTTCACTCATTAGAAAAGTAAAGTGAGGAGCATATAAAAAAACCCAACTTATTTCTCAACTTTACACATAAAAATCAACATCTTAAAAAAACAAAACAAAAACAAATCTGCTTTTTGTCCTCCAAACACCTCCTAGGAATTTTTATTACTAATAACTTCATCTTGGTATCGACATGGGAGCAGTCCACAATATGGACATCTCCCCCCCCCCCCCCAGCATTCAGTACTGGCACCTGTGCAAGGCAGGTGCAAAGAAATATCAAACTGCTGTAGTTAGAAAGATCCTCGTTCAGCAGTATTTGTTCTATCTTAGCACATCTGGATCAGAAGCAGATCTGTTTAATCCATCATCAATGCCAAATTACATCTGTCAGAGTCCAAAATTACTTGGGAGTGTGCAATATTTGGTTCTGCTTTTCATAATGGCTGTTGTTTCTTCTAGCTAAGCAATAAATTCTTTTTTAGAAAGGGAAGGAATGTTATTAGAATTAGAATAACAGAGTTGGAAGGGACTTCGAAGGTTTTCTAATCCAACCTCCTGCTTAAGCAGGAAACCCTACACCACTTCAGACAAATGGATATCCAACATCTTCTTAAAAACTCCCAGTGTTGGAG